TCCTTTTCTCTCGATAGTTCTCCATCGCATTACGTGTTGCTACTGTCCGCAGGTTTGCACCATACGCTGCGTTTTTCACACCACGGATTGATGTTGGTGGTCTTTGGCACCCTAGAAGTGTTGTTTTTGTTGCAGTTTGTAGGGAGTGGGCAATTCTCTGCCATTGTGCTTCTATATTATTATCGGGACAAGGGGTGCTTTCGTCAAGCAGTTGGGTAAGTTGAGCGGAGTAGGCTTCTGATATCTGTTGTGTTTGCAGCTTTTCGACGTCATGTTTCCGTTTTACATTAAATAATTATAAAAATTCCAGGCCTAAAAATAGGCCCCTATTCACGCCTAAAAATAGGCCTCTAAAAATATTTTTAAAACATCTACGCCTTAAGATATGCTTCAGAAAATATTTTTAAAATAATACAAGCTAAGGTCTAAAAATATTTTTTTAAAAGAAATCCACGCCTAAGGATAGGCTCTTGAAAAAATATTTTTAAAAATCCTTTTTGAAATAAAACTCCAACAATTTTTAAGGTATATTGTCCTTACTTTATTTCTATATTTTTATTAATTATTAGTTATTGTAAAATTTTTATTAACAAAGCTTTTAGCGGCGTTAGAAAAAAAATGGTTTTTCTGTGTGTTTTTTTTCGTTTCTTCAGGTAACTTGTTAACAGGAATAAAATCAGATTCATTGTGCAATCGTCATCGTCAGCAGCAGAATACACCCCTCCCTTCGCATCATCATCTTCTAGGCATTCAATACAGCTGGTATTAGCTTTTCATAGATCTCAATGCCACGCAAATAGGTATCAGCCTTAAGGTATTCATCATGATCGTGCAATAGCACGGGCGTATTGATCATGGGTGAGAAACCGATTGAGGGTATGCCAGCCGCGCGTATATAACGGCTGTCGGTGCCACCGGGGAAGATAAGTTTGCGGATTTTCAAGCCCCTAAAAAGAAGAAATGATTTCAGAAGAGCTTGGAAGGTATGAAGGTGTCTTCGACTTACAATTCCTTGACCAAACAATTTTCAAATGCAACCCAATAGATATTGGAACTATCGGTTTTTGTGGGCTCAACTTTGGGTTGTTTCTGTTCGAAATGCAATTCAATGTCACCACCAGCTTCTTCACACCATTTGCGTACCTTTAAAGTGGAAGAGAGAGAGACAGAGTGAGGAATAAATGTGAAATGAAATAAAAAGAAAAACAAACACATGTAAGAGAAGAAATACATTGGAAGAGGTATAGCAAGAAAGGGGAGGTAGAAGAGGAAACTAATTAAATATTTAAAAAAATCCGCGCCCAAGAATAGCCTGCCAAATAATATTTAAAAAAATCCACGACTAAGGATAGGCTACTATCCCCATCTTCCTTTTATTTTTTCAAGAAACCACTACTCTACGCTCTCAATTGCTTCCTGATCTTCTATTGATCCGATATATTTCTACATGATTTTCCATCTAAGCTTAAATATTTTCCCATTGCAAACATCACTCATTTTCTATTTCTACTCTGATATATACCTAGCCAAATGTTTATAGCTTCAGAAGACCTGAAAATCGTTTCTCAATTACTTTTTGAGATGATGTTCTGATCCTATATATTCCCCACATGATTCTCCACATATTCTTTGACTGCAATCATCAATATTTTCTACTTCTAATCCGATAGATACCACGCCAAATGTTTATAGCTTCAGAATAGCTGACAATCGGTTCTCAATGGCTTCCTGAACTGATCTTCCGACCCGATAGATCCCCCATATGATTTCCACATAGGCTTAAATATTTTTCCATTGCAAACATCACTCATTTTCTACTTCAAATCCGATAGATACTAAGCCAAATGTTTATAGCTTCAGAAGACCCGACAATCGTTTTACAATTACTTCTTGAGCTCATCTTCCGATTCGATATATTCCTCACATATGCTTTAATATTCTTCGACTGCAATCATCAATATTTTCTACTTCTACTCCGATAGATACCACGTCAAATGTTTGTAGCTTCAGAATAGCTGACAATCGGTTCTCAATGGCTTCCTGAATTGATCTTCTGATCCGATACATTCTCCACATGATTTTCCATATAGGCTTAAGTATTCTTCATTGCAATCATCACTCAATTTCTACTACTAATCCGATAGATACCACGCCAAATGTTTATAGCTTCCGAATAGCTGACAATCGTTGTTTAATTACTTCCTGAACTGATCTTCTCATCCGTTACATTCCGCACATGATTTTCCATCTAGGCTTAAATATTCTTCGACTGCAATCATCAATATTTTCTACTTCTAATCCGATAGATACCAAGCCCAATTTGTATATCTTCAGAAGGCCTGACAATCATTTCTCAATTGCTTCCTGAGCTTATCTTCTGATCTGATACATTCTCCACATGATTTTTCATCTACGGTTGAATATTCTTCCATTGGACACATCAATGATTTCTACTTCTAATCCGATATATACCAAGTCAAATGTTCCTCAATTACTTCTTGAACTGATCTACCGATCCGATACATTCTCCACATGATTTTCCATCGAGGCTTAAATATTCTTCCATTGCCACCATCACACATTTTCTACTTCTAATCCGATAGATACCAAACCAAATTTTTACAGCTTCAGAAGATCTGACCATCGATTCTCAATTGCTTCCTGAACTGATCTTCTGCTCCGATTCATTCTCCATATGATTTTCCATCAAGGCTGAAATATTTTGCTCACCCAAACATCACTCATTTCTACTTCTAATTCGATAGATAACAAGCCCAATTTGTATATCTTCAGAGGATCTGATAATCGTTCCTCAATTGCTTCCAGGACTGATCTGATACATTCCTCACATGATTTTCCAAATAGGGTTAAATATTCTTCCATTGCAAACAGATTTAATTAATTTCTATTTCCTATCTTTCTACTTCTAATCCGATAGATACCAAGCCAAATGTTAACAGCTTCAGAAGACCTGACCATCGTTTTTCAATTGGTTCCTGAACTGATCTTCTAATCCGATACATTCTCCACATGATTTTTAACATAGGCTTACATATTTTACCATTACAAACATCACACATTTTCTACTTCTAATCCGATGGATACCACCTCAAATGTTTATACCTTCAGATTGCTCTGTCAATTGCTTCCTGAAGTGATCTTCTGATCCGATAGATTCCCACACGATTCTCCATCTAGGCTTAAATATTTTTCCATTAAGCACATCAATAATTTCTACCTCTAATCCGATACATTCCCCACATGATTTTCCACATAGGCGTACATATTTTTCCACTTATATTTTCTACTTCTAACCCGATAGATACCGCTTCAAATGTTTATACCTTCAGGAGATCTGTCAATTGCTTCCTGATATATTCCTCATATATTCTTCTCATCCAAACATCACTCATTTTCTACTTCTAATCCGAAAGATACCAAGCCAAATGTTTTTTGACAAACATCTTTACCTGCTTTTCAAATTCCTCATGATCCACAGTAATGGCTAGACGTATATCGAAACAGACATCCAAAAATGGTGGCACCACATTACTCTGAACGCCTCCGTTAATGGTGGTTAAATTAACTGTGGTCACATCACCAATCGATAGGGACGGATCGTTTTCTAAGCGCTGGGCTTCGTGTTCACGGAAGGCCATCATTTTATTGAGAATATAATGGAGTTTTTCACCGACAGTATTTTTTAGCAACAGGGAGCCGTGACCGGCATGTCCGGTTATTTGGAAGTGGATTTCTGTAAAACAAAGAAAAATTCTTAAATAAAAAATTGGATCTTAGTTAGGAGAGGTTACTTACGCCAAATCGATCTCTCAGCATAGTAGACACAATAGCTGTCATCCTCAGCGGCCACACCCTCATCCAGCGAGAAACCAACATTTAACTTTTTGAAGTCTTCGGTTTCGATGAAGGGTTCCATGCCCAAGTGGCCACCGATTTCTTCATCTAAAAACAGGGGAAACAAATTAAATTAAAATAGCTAAAAACTTTAAAATTAAATTAAAAAATTAATATTGAAGGCTCTGAAATCCTAACCTCATATACTCTTAAATTTTATTTAATTTAAATTTTAAATCAGCGACCTGGAACCTCTAAAACGGCATTTACATTGGAACTTTTTACAGGTTTAACCTACTTTATGAGGATTTATTTGACATATATGCAAAGGAATTGACAATTGAAACCCACTGGGTTAACGAAATCCGATTAAATGTAAACATTTCAAAACTACAAAGCTACTACAACAAAACTAATCTTCCGAACTAGTGAACCCTTGGTAAAGTAGCCATTTTCAGACCTAGTAACCCCAACTATTTACCAAAAATTATTTTAAAATTCCCAACATCTTTCCTTTGCCAAATCTAACCCTTAATTGTTAATTGAAAGCATTTTATGGAGAGTTGAAAGTCTATTTTAGGTCGTGGGGGAGAGGAGTAACTTCCATTAACACCATTTTGTCGGCTTTTGAATAAAAATTTGTCAATTTGATTATCAAATTACAAGGTTGTAACATTAAAAAGTCTCTGGTCTGGCAGACATTAAAAGTTACCCGGATAATTGCTATGTGTAAGCAATTAATGTCACAGCGGGGGAGAAAATATTCTACTGGGGGTTGAGAAAAACAAAATCCGCAAGCCACAGCCAACGAAAATAAAGAGGATGCTGATATCTCCAAGGATTCTTAGATGAGAAAATTTTAATTTTCTGAACGTGACTCAAAAATGTTGGGGAAGGACAAGTATTTTCTTCAGGAGAAATCTCGAGAAAATTTGCAAACCAAAACCTTCAAGAACTACAACAAATAGCCTCTCAACTGAGAGTTCTGCGATCTCATCAACAGGAATCAATGCCTAATTTCTACTCTCCCCAGGAAAATTCGAAGTAATTTACTGCTTTAAGAATGAAGTCAAGAGACCATCGTTCCCACAATTTATGATCTTGACCTCCTTCTTCCCCACACGATTTTCCATCTAGATTTAAATACTCTTCCATTGCCAACAACACTCATTTTCTATTTCTAATCCGATAGATATCACACCAAATGTTTCTTCAGAATAGCTGACAATCCTTCTTCAATTGATTCTGGAGCTGATCTTCTGATTCGATACATTCCCCACATGATTTTCCATTCAGGCTTAAATATTCTTCCATTGCCAAACTTCACTCATTTTCTACTTCTAATCCGATAGATGCCACGCCAAATGTTTATAGCTTCAGAATTGCTGACAATCGTTTCTCAATTGCTTCCTGAACCGGTTTTATATAGGATAATCCTGCCAAACTCTATTCATTGACTGTCAGGCTCGTCCGTTGGGGAAATAATCGTTAGATTTGCAACAAAAATATTTTATTCTGAAGAAGTTCTATAGACATAGATCACCATCCCACAAAAGGCCTCTAGAAAAGATGCTAATTCCTGTTCCTTCTATAAAGATCCAAGGTAATTTACTGCCTAAACAACGAAGTCAGCAGACTCCTAATTCCACCAGTTTGTGTTCTTGACCTCCTTATATAGATTAATCCTACAAAATTCTAGTTGTTGATGGTCAAACTCGCCCGTTAGGAAAATAAGCAACCAATGAGTAGCAACCAATGATTCTCACTGATACGTTCGTCGGGATCAGCCTTGTAAATGATGGCTATTTTTTGATCATGTGGTATCATTTGTTGCCTCAAAAACTTTCGGTGTTGGCTTCGAGGGTCCTGCGAAGACTTGTCAATTGCTTGGACAGCAGAAACAATGTCTTCTTGGTAGAAGGATGCTGTCCCGAACTTCTGAACTCATTATCATCCTTGCCAAATGCTTTGTGGAGGATTTAATTTCTTAATCACGCCCTATTGTCATCCTGTGACCAAACATCTCCAACAGATTTAGATGTCATGGTATCTGTACTCGGGGGAATCGCCACAAGAATTTATAAAATGAGTCGATCGCTTTAGTCGACTTCTTACATTGCGTTCACTATCCTATATAAGGTGAAGGTTTCTTTCTTGTCTTTGAGAATCGAGTACTCGAAATGTTCTTCAGAAGCCAAGCAATCTCAGATCATCCGTTACAGACGATATAATTTAAACACTTCTATATATATTTGAGAGAATTGTTCCATCCTTGGATGTCTTTTAGAATCGACTACTCGAAAATGTTCTTCAGCCTCAGAGAGATGATGAAAAAGGAATAGATGATAGTAACGTGGAAGCAGAAACAGCAAATATTGATGGTGAATTCAGAGTTTTTGGAGGAACAGAAATAGATACAACGGAGAAGAGTCCAATCCAGATGTAGTTCGAAAAGGCGAAGAGAAATAGAAATTCCCAAACAGGCAGATATATGATGAAAAGAGAATAGAAGATATATTAACGAATGATGAATTCAGAGTTCTTGGAGTAACAGAAATAGATACAACGACGATGAGTCCAATCCAGATGTAGGGGGAAAAATGCCACGAAGGATAACTCTACCTTCACATTTTTGGAAAAGGCGAAGAGAATTAGACAGGCGGAGACTCAAATTCAAATTCCGCGTCAGAATACGACAGTAAGGCCAATATAATATAAGAAGTTAGTACTTCTTTAAGACCTTTAGGTATTTCGAAGGGTTGGGCCAAGCGAAAGAAGAATACCTTCAGCTCTTCCACAGGAAGAAAAAGGAACCATGAATTGTATCATCTATTCTCGGACATCGACATAGTCAGACGGATCGAGCTGCAGCGTCATGTTATGAGAATGGATGAGGATTCCCCCACAAGGCATATAAAAGCGAGCCTACTGATGGCTTACGCAGCATGGGAAGGCCATGAATTAGATGGAAAGATCAAGTGGAAGAGAACATTTCGAAACATGGCCTTTCAAATTGGAAGAGCTGCCCGCAAGATCGACGCGCCTGGAAATCTTTTTTAAGCTCGGTTTATGGAACAAATATTCTGTCACAAGCCAGCTAAGTAGTAAGATCCGATAGATACTAATCCATACTTCGAGCTAATCAATCGGTGGATTCTTAGACAAATCTGCCAGTTCTCGCTATAAAATCACAAGTCTCAAGTGAGAGCTTCAAAAAATCTGAAAAGGCAATTTTTACGTAGCGAAAATGGTTTTCAAATACGAAAGATGGTGAATGTCTTGCAGTGGGTGTCTTGTGTAAAGGAGAGAATATTTACTTAAACAGGGATCTATTTTTGTCTACAGTCCACAAGCGGATAAGATAGGTTAAGTCATATTGTAATACTTAGTTCTTAAGGAGCACTTTTTATATTAATAATTTTGTGTAAATTTCCAAAAACGGAATTAGTCGTGCTTTCACTCCGCGAATGAATATCCGTGTATCTATACAGATCCGAGTTTATCAGGCAAAGAGAGAGATATTCGTTTCGGTGTCCTAAGATCCCAATCTCAAAACGGAATCGACAAATATAAACTTAGATGTCGTAACATGGCAAACATTTTATGGCTTGCAGAGGAAATTTTCCTTCAGCCTGGCGATATTAGTATTCAGTAATCCAAGACCATACTTTTGGGATTTCTCCGAAACCTGCATAATTTATGAGAGAGGTGGCGTGAAAAAATCTTCATATAATCTTAATTATGGCGGCCCATAATCTCTGCTAGAGATTAGACTAAGGTGTTTGCTGGGTCTCACTTTTCGTGTTTACTTATCAATTGACTGCAATTTGCTGCTTATCGTTCACGGTCACAACTACTTTATCTATAGAAGTGATTTTTTTCTAGGTGCAAGAGCTATTAAAAATTATGAGAGAGAAAAATAAACAGAGCTCGCTTATCATCACTAAATTTTCATAAAGATAAATCAACCCCGAGATAAGGAATCAGGCCAAGTAGAAAATACGAAAATAAAAATGCAATAAAATCTTCAACAAATCTTACCTGGAACAAATGTCACATGCACGGTACGTTTCATATGCATCCCCTTCTGCTTTAAGGCACGTATGGCAGCCAAATATTGCATACCAACACATTTCATATCTTGTGAACCGCGTGCAAATATTTTACCCTCCGCATCCATGTGTGCGGAAAATGGTGGATGCGTCCATTTATCTTCGAACACGGGCACCACATCCATATGGGAATTTAATATGACAGAAGGCAATTCTGGTTGGGTACCTTGCCAGGTGATGATGACAATTGGTTTAGTTTTACCCCCTGGATAATAGACATTAACTGGAAGACCCAAATCATTGGCTTGTTTTTTAAGGAATTCTACGCAGGGTTCTACAAAAGAAAGAAAAATTTACAGATTTTTTTGAAAAAAGGAAAGAAATAATTAGAAATTTAATGTGTTAGGAAATTTTGTGTATACATACATGCGTTTGTTTTTGTTTGAATAGTGCAGTTTACCAATTTTTTGAGGTTAGTTGTTTTTTTGGGGGGAAAATGTACAAAAGACCAACACCATTTTACGCACTCACATTTTTTATTCTTTGGGACACCGGACAGAAAGTTCGGACACACTTCTTGATCACAGTATTTATTAATTTTCAGGAACAATTAATCGGACGTTTTAGTAAATATTTACAAAGGAAATGGTGGACGTTTTCCCCAAATCTATGGGGTTTCTGCGAGCACGAAATGGAGGGACTCTTATAATATTTATTGTAAAATAACTTATAGCTAAGTGGGGAATCCAGCAGCAAGTAATTCGGGAACATATTATCAAATCAGTGTTAGATAAGGTGTTAATCGGATACTCCAGACTTATATTTAAACATAATTCGGTTTATGAGAGAGGCGTAGATTTTATTGATCAGGTGTAATTCGATACTCCAGACTTATATTTAAACATAATTCGGTTTAAGAAATACCACACCTTCAGAAAAGTTTACTATATTAAAGGTTATTCTCGCCATACTCTGAACTTTTCTGGATACATTGAACTTTGCAAATTGTTTCAGTTCCATTATCAATATTTTCTACTTCATATCCGATAGATACTAGCCCATCCTTTTACACCCTGTACAATATCGATAATCAAGCGAAGGTGTAGAATGAATGAGCCGTTAAACCCATTCGGTTTTTACCATTACTGAGGCAAACGTAGGAAATTTGAGTCGTTACAAAATCAAGAACTTACAAATCGGAAGATAAACTTCATATACCCGCACAGGATTGCAATGATTTCTACTTCTAAACCAATAGGTACTAACCCATACGTTTAACCCTTTACATGATCTGCCAATATCAGACGGAGTTATTGAATAACCCGATGAAGCGTTTTCTGTTTGGATTTTGTGAAATAATATATCCTAAGAAGCTGGGGGAAACTTGTATCCTTACGAAGATAGTCTCGATATATTCTCCCTTGACTTTTAAGATAGCCTTAAAGTTTTTTCCACTTTTAACATCAATAATTTCTACTTCTGATCCGACAAATACTAGTTTTCTACTTCGAATCCTTAACATAATCGGTCACTAATTTAATAGGCCGAGTTTCCGAATGAACCACTGAAATATTTTCAATTTTCTTTTTGTGAAGATCTCCCAGATAATCGGCGGAGACTTGTATTGACTTTTCGGATAGCCTTAAAGTTTTTTCCTCTTCCGACATCAATAATTTCTACTTCTGATCCGATAGATACTAGTCCATACTAGCCGAGTTTTCGTTTGAACCGCAGAAATATTTTCTCTTTCCGCTTTGAGAAGATTTTCCAAATAAGCGGAGGGTAACTGCTAGGGAGATAGACTCGATATTTTCTCTCTTGAGTTTTCAGATAGCCTTAAATATTGCTCCACTCTCAACATCAATAATTTCTACTTCTAATCCGATAGATACTGGTCCATACTTCAAATCATCCACAAATTTCCTGTCATTCCTTTAATAGGTTTAGTTTCCGAATGAACCGCTGACATATTTTCACTTTTCGTTTTGGGAAGATCTTCCAAATAAGCGGATGGTAATTGTATCCTTATGAAGATAGACTCGATATATTCTCACATGACTTTTCAGATAGCCTTACATTTGTTCCATTGTTCCACTCTCAACATCAATATTTCATATTTCGAATACTATACACAATTTGTCAATCCTTCAATAGGCGGATTTTCTAGACAGCCCCAAATATTCTTCCACACTCAACACCAATAATTTTTACATCTGATACGATAGATGCTAACTCTACCTTCGTTTCGGTGCAAGCCTAAATAGCTCAGTACCGGCGGTAGTTGTTGATCTGGCCCCTTTGTCATCCTGCTATTGTGAGCAAACATCTCCTACAATTTGGCTGTCTTGGTATCTGTAGTCGAAGATATAAAATGAGCTGATCGCTTTATTGGCCTTCTAAATAATGTATCACTATATGATACACATTGAAGGACGGATTTTGAGTCAATAGTTCACAAATTAGGAGGCCAAGCATTCGCTGCAATATAACAACAACGGGAAATAGACTGGATATAGCCTCGATATATTCTCACTGGAATTTCCAGATAGCCCCAAATATCATTCCACTCCCAATATAAATTATTTCTACTTCTAATACGATAGATACTAACTCAACATTCGTTTCAGAGCAGAGCCTAAAAAGTGCAGTACCGGCAGTAGTTGTTGATCTGGTCATGAGTCATGCCCCGTTGTCATTCTGCGATTGTGAGCAGACATGAGAGGATGTTGACTTCATTACAAAATGAAAAGCAATGCTTTAAAAGATCACATTTAGGATCAACAGGAAAAATAGGATGTCTTTAAAGATCGACTACTCGAAAAGGTTCTTCAGCGTCTGAGAAATGATGAAAAGAGAATAGATGATATTAACGTGGAAGCAAATATTGATGATCCTGGAGTAACAGAAATATATACGCCGGGGAAGAGCAAGGCCAACCCAATCGTCCAAGACAGACGGGGAATCAATATCAAATTAGGAGACTGAACATTCTCCAGGTCGAGAGTGAGGTCCACATAACTGGTAAAGGGTGCCACATTCTTCGAAGAGGGGAGAGAATTAGAAATTCCGTGACAGACGGTCACTCAAACTCAAATTCTATGTTGAACACGAGAGTAAAAACAATATAACCATTGGAGTGTGACGAATGTGCAAAGAGGCTTATATGATGGTGGAGGAAGTGAGCACGGACACTGCTAAGTTCATCACAAGAAAGAAACAGCTATCTGAGACACTAGGGTAAAAACTTTCCACGTGATAAACCGGAGAAGGAAAAGCTAACAGCAGGAAATAAGTCAGACCTTCCTTCCACTTCCTCGGAGGCGGCGAAGATGATTGGGAATGCTAAACCCGCCAAGAAGGAAAAGATCTTCCTGTTGACGGACATAAAGACAAAGCTGAGCCGACACAAAATTGAAGGAGACAATCCGAAGAATCCATAGACTGAGGACGACAAGAAGAAGTGAGAAAAGACATTGCTAAGTTTACCACAAGAAAGAAGAACCTATCTGAGGCACTAAGGCAAAAACTGGACACGGGGAAGGAAGAGCTAACAGCAGCAAATAAGTCTCACCTTCCTTCAACTTTCTCGGAAGCGGTGAAGATGATAAGGAATATCAAACCCGCCAAGAAGGAAAATATCTTCCCGTCGACGGATATAAGGAAAATTCTTTCGTGAGGATTGGGAATTTCAAGAGGACTAAGCAGACAGTAAATATCTCTTACTCGAGAATATATGGCAGGCCTGAAAAAAGGGAACAACTATTTATTAGCTGATCCTACGAAACAAATTCATCAGCTGTTAAATGTATCAGCTGATAATCGAATCAGCTGATGAACGCATCAGCTGAGACTGTCTTCTTTGTTGGTTTCTGTGGGGTTTGAATTCATTGGAAATTCTGTAAGGAGTAGTCATTTAATTTTGCTTTGTTATTTTGAAAAAGGGAGAAATAATTATCTACACGATAAATTGTGGCATGTGAGCCATCCTTATATTTAACTTAAATGGTGTATCCTAATTATGAGCGTGTGTAATGAAAATTGTGCACACACAATTTATTATTTAAATTGTTGAGTAAACGAAGACCATTGAACAATTGTCGATAATTGCAGGCGACAAAATGTTTCAATTATTTTTTCACAAAAAAAAAATACAATTCCGGTTTCCGTTAAAACGTTTTATGCTACCTAAAAATAACTTTGTAGCAATTTTAGAATTTGGAAAAAAATGAGAAGGGCATAGTTAACGTTAACAAGGGAATGCTAACTTCCGCTCTCCCATTTTGTATCGCTCTCTTTTTTATAGGAGTGGAATATGGTGCAGATTTAACACCAGAAAAGGTGGTTGAATTGGCATTCAATTGGAAATTAGCATCACACACACGTGCCACAGCCACCGCTACTGCTTCTTTGTTCTGCTGTGAATACTTCTTTGTTATCGTTTTGACTTTTTGAAAAAATTGTTCATTTGCCCACAGTTACGACGACTAATAATAATAGTGGTATTGAATTACTAAGGATTCTGGACCAAAGAATCATTGTTGGACTGATTGATGGTGGCTAAAGCCCAAGGCATAATAGTCTCAGCAGGATTTTGTAATGTATTTTCCAGAATGGGAGGATAATGGTTACTTGTAATTGTTTCGAAGCAAGAAATCTGCACTGCTAAATGCTTTAGCAGGAGATATGTACTAGAAAAGGGCCGAAATTATCGGAAGTCAATGTGCCCGCTTGCATTCTCCCCGACGATTAGTGTAATTGTTTCCTATGCACGTGGACGCCGGGACTTAATTGTGATATTTTATTAAAGGGATTTATTTTGGAATTTTGAAAAAAGGGAGAATGGTTTCGTCAGACGATTCAGGCTGAGATATGAATTTTTTAAAATATATACATTTGCCTCCATCGGGGAAAGATTTTCTTAAAAAATATTTTTCCATAGAAACGGCAATATCTTGTAATTATTCTGAGACCTCGAAAACAACTACTGAACCTATCTTCCGATTCATAGAATATTTATGCTATTGGTATTTTCAAAGACCAGATGAAGTAGAAGACTTGTGTTTGGCAGACTTCGCAGCTTGATTATAAATATTCCAGAACCCGGAGAAACAGAACCTATCTTCCGATCCATTGAATATTTGGAACATTACATTCAAAGATCGGATGAAATAAAAGACTTCGCAGCTTGATTAAAAATATTTCAGAAAACGAACAAACAAGGCCAGAGAAGGGGTTAATAGTCCCCTGAGCATGGCGATCAGAAAGAAAATTCTGAGCAGACCTTATATTTATGTTGTCGGTATTTTAGTTGGAGCATTACATTCAAAGACCAGA